GGCACAGAGTTTTTCGAGGGCTCCTCCTGGCAGGAAGGTAGAGATGGTCAGAGCCCAGATCCCTGAGGTCCCTTCTCCCTCTGCACCAGCTCCCTGAGTCCCAGCTGCTGGAGGCCACAGAACCCTGAGCCCCAGGTGTCCGAGGCCTCAGCTTCCGAACCTGGATCCCCAATTCCTAGTTCCACAAGGCCCCAGCTCCCTGAACATGAAAATGGGGCCTGGCTTCACCTAGTCACCTCAGACAGTGGGTGCTCTGTGCGTGCCACTGCAGTGAGATGGGCCTGGACAAGAGGAGCAAGCCGCTGCCCAGGGGTGCTGGTGTTCCTAACAGAGGATGAAGGCCAGGTAAGAGGACCCAGGAATTGACCACATACCTCTCCATGAGCCCCTAGGACTTCGGAACCCTGGTCATCAGGCAGCCACAAGTGACATAAACCAGAGCTGGCTCACTTGCCCGGGGGCTCTAGAACCAACAACATGTTGTGTTCCCAGGAACCCAGGGGCAGGCCCCAGAAAGAATGCCAAAACTGAAACAGAGGTAGGTGGGTTGGAGGATGGATATCGGGAGAGGCAGGAATGGCTCCCCTCTCAGCGGGATCTATTACGAGAGAGCCTCCAAAAAGACCCTCTCAGGCACAAGAGCAATTTCAAGAAACATTAGGCTCCGAAAAAAACAGCCATGTGCTATATTTTTCAAATAAGGGAAGTAGAGGGGTCACTGTGGCCACAAGGGGCTGGTTATATCACCCAGAGTGTGTCCACCACCTGTCAACGGAGCTGGACCACACTGGCCATGAGTGATGGTCACTGCTGGTCCCCAGAGGCAGTGTCAGAAACAACAAGTGTGAACAGCTCTCTGTGAGTTGCTGGACTATACCAACAACACCTAGCAGGCCCGAGCCTCTGCTGCTCCCTTCAGCAGTGTCACAGACAGGTCCAGCCTCTGAGCGAGTCTTCGGTTTCTCTTACCTCCTTGGAGGTTGGCTGCTGCATGCTGGCTTCTGCTCCTTCTTTCTTTTTCCTAGAGTGGTCAGGAGGGGTGTTCAGAGGCTGAGCGAGAGTGTCTGCTGAAACAGAGCGTGGTGGTGGGAACAGTTTGCCTCGGCTCCCTCCCACCTTCACTTCTATCTCTTTCAGTCTGCTGCACCCACAAGTCTGACTGGATCTTCTATCAGTGTCATGGCTGGGTGGCACCAAACAACTCATAAGTCACACAATATTTCTTCATTCCATGATCGAGGAATTAAAATGGCATTTGCTGAGCCCTGAGGAGCAACTGCCACAACTGACTTGTGGTGGCGCAGAGGGTAAGGGAGCAACACTGCTGCCGTCAGCTCCTGCTGCTGAGATGGCTGCTTCTGGTAAAAAAAAATAAAAGGAAAACTGTGAGAATCATAACAGGCCTGTCTGGCCATTGACCAGCAGGACGGCAGAGGTAACAGGGCAACTGGGGACTACTCGGCATGCTGAGGCCCCAGGCAGCCCATTCTGACCTGGGGTGTGTGTGTGTGTGTGTGTGTGTGTGTGTGTGTGTGTGTGGTGTGTGTGTGCATGAGAGAGAGAGTGAGAGTCTGTGTGCTTGCTAGTGTGTGGTCATGTGAGTGGGGGTCATGTGGTCATGTGTTTCCTCGTTTCAGGGTCCAGGCTGTCCCAGGATGGTGGGTCATGGTCACACCCAGAACCAGGACAACTGAGGGGCATGACAGCCGGGGCAGCCTCTGACTTCAGGTGGATCCCCCTCAGTGTGTCACCGTCAGCCCAGGGGACCTTTCTCAGTGTGGAGGTGGACACGACAAAGGGAGCCTGGGCCCTACTCCACTCTTGGATCAAGGTACAGGATGCCTCCAAGGCATGACATGCACCTCAATGTCAGTTGCCCCAGGAGCACTGGGCACAGGTACACACGCCCTGGCTGAAGGACCTGGAGCTGCTGGAAGAGGAGGCTGAAGGTGAGAGGCGGGTGTGTCCTGCAACATCTGGAATGGAAGTGGACAGGGCCTCTGGAGAGCAGCCAAACAGGTGGAGGATTGTACCTGTGGACTACTTGGTAGAATTAGGGGGTGACAGGACTTGGGTCGCCCTGACTGTGCCAGGCAGGATCGGGTGCATCTGGAAGGAGATAAGGAAGGGTATGTGGGTGATGGTCTCTCTCTTGTGCTTCAGCTCCCTCTCAGTAAGGAGAGCTGGGCTCCCCGGAAGCTGGTGCAGTAGGGCAGATACCAGGAGATTTTGTCTAAGGATGACCTGCATCCACCAGCGCTCCGGAGACCCCCAAGTGTGGAGAAGGTGCCCAAGCAGACTTGCTGCTAAGACAGATTCTACCCCAGGTACTATAGGCAAACCTGAGTATGCTGGGCTACCAACACCCCAGCTGTGGGCACAGCCAGAGGCCAGGCATGGCAACTAAATGTCTTGGCCTGAGGGGGGATGGAGAGACTGTCTGGCCTAGTTCCTAGGTAGCCGAGCAACCGCAGTTCAGGTTGGGCGAGCTACTGCTTCAACGGTCCTCAGAGCACAAGACGAACAATATCTTCCATCTGACCTTGTTCCAGAACACCCAATCCCCTCTCTATATGACTTACTTGTTTCTTCTTGCTGTTTTCATAGGCTTTATTTATTTTAGCTTTTTAAATAATGTTTGTGACAGGCCTGGAGGTAACCATGATGGGAAGCAAGGCAGAATGCTATGTCCGTGTGACCACACTCAGTGAGAATTAGGGTGAAAATGGGGAATCTCCCAGCCTGTTTCCTCCCTAACCAACAGAGGTAGGTTTATCTTCAGTGAGTTCAGGGATTCCCACTTTAGGGTATGAGGGTACTGACATCCTCAGGGGTAGGGGTAGTGGGGGGCAAGCTTAGAAACTGGCAAATACTTCTCCTTGAAATAGCATAGATTTTCGGCTGTGGACATCGCAGTGAATTCAACTGGAAACATATTGAATAGTCACTTGCTTAGTATGGAAGATAACACAAAACATCCATAGTATTTCCATGTCTCGCTTTGAATTCAAATTACTTTTAAATGAAAGCAGTGCAGGAGAGAACTCCTATTGTAACAGGGTGGTGTCCAGGCAAAGGGGAGGTTCCAGGTTCCCTGCCCCATCCAAAGGAGGGTGGAGCTGAGCAGGGCAGAGAGGAAGCTGGAGAGGAGACTGGGGAAGGAAGGAAGCAGGATGGAGAGCAGGGAGGACACCTGGAGGAGGCACATGGAGCAGGGAGACAAGCAAAGAAGCTGCACTTGGTTTTTGGTCCTGGACTGGGTGAAACTGATCTAGGTGAGAAACCCATGGGAGGTTACCAACGGCAGGTTGTTATCCTGATTTTGATTTACTCTTTTCCTCCCAGATTTGTCTGGTTGTTTCTGATCCTTTCCTATGAGTCCCCGCCGAAAGGTGCTTTAGACTTGTGGCAGGCTTTTGGGCCTTGCTCCAAGCCAATCCCGTTTAGGTGGACTTTTACCCACAAGGGGACGAGTAACTTTGGGTGCTTGGTTTAGAAACCATAGTCTTTGTCTTTTCTGTATTGTTCACTAATTGTATTGAAGTTCCTTTCTATTAAAGATCTTATATGTTTTGTCTTGGTGTGGCACATGGGAGAACCTATTTAGAGTAGGCAGGTTTGAGGGTTCTGGGGCTTCCCTCTCCCTGCCCTGAAACTCTATCTTACCATATTTTAAGGTCTCTTTCCATAGGCATAGCTTTCCATACCTTATGAAATAGCAGACCCGATCCTGATTTTTATTTAGAATCTTATAAACTCAAATATACCATCTTAAACATCAGTTTAGGATGAAATTCTTTGCCAAGCTTAATGTCCTTCTTGGGACCTTAATAATCACTGTATAATATGGCACGTTGTACATATACAAGTACAGGGACCTTTGTAAATTGGTGAGATAATCCAAAGCTGTATTTGCTTTGGTTGTGAAAAATTCATTTCTTAGGCACTTTGATTTTGAGAATCAGTAGTTTAGACTGTGAAGGAGAAGAAAATGTAAGTCAATAGATTATCTGGTTTTCATAAAGCCTTTTGCCTTAAAGTAAAGATGTGCTTGCTTTGAGTGTGGGAATGGAGTGTGGTACGGGCTGGCCTGAGTGCCCATTACACCTATAGTGTGCCCCATTATCATTCCTACTAAACACTCATTATTGTACGGTACAGCAGAAATTGTCATGCAAGCCTCGTATGTTACTTAAATTTTTAAATAGCTATAACAAAACTAAAGAGAAAATATGAAGTAATTGACTGTAATAATATATTTAACACCGGATGTACAATGTAAGTGCAAACTTATTACTTCACATACAGTCTTTTTGTAAATCAAGTCTTCAAAATGTTTTCAATGGTGCGCGGACCTCTCCTGCCACACCCGCTGCTCTCCTCAGCAGTGTATTTCGTCGGTCTGCCTGTTCTGTTCCCCTCTCTGGCTCTGGTGAATTCTCTCACCCTCCCGCACTTCTGATTGTACCCAATGCTTGTATAAATAAATAAATAAATTTAAAAAAAAAAGAATCTCCATGATCTTTCAAAAAATATGTTTTCAAAATCTGTTCTGTATCATATATGTGTAGAAAATCCTGGTTTTCAGAAGCAACCTTTCAAATGCTCAGAATCACATATAATTGGTGGTTCTTGTATTAAACATTTCAGGTCATAATAATCAACTGCGGAAATACATTTACATATATGTAAACAAAAATGTTGATATGTCATCTATATTGAATATCGTTGGTCCTTATATCAGGTGACTGAGAGAAAAACAGGAAAATATGAATGAAAGTATCTATCAGTATAAATATGTGAAGGAACAGTAATGTCCCTCATCATGTCAATATACACACTATTCGGTGACAATCTATGGACTATCACCACAAGTTCCTTATGGTGATGCTATATGGACGCTATTACATAACTTTTATATGGACGCTATTACATAACTTTTATCTCATTCAGAAACATGTGACATGAATGGGTTTTGAACAGATGGCAATATGGAAGATACTGTTAATGTTAGACAAATCGCTACATAGAAACCTGATGATCCTACACGATTCCTACATGAGTGAAACAGGGAAATCACAAAGGAAGCCTGGGAGGTAACACAAGGCCATCTCTAATATCGGTGCATGTACTTCCCTCAAAAATAATCAGCTCTTCAAGGCTCAGTGTCTTCCTATTCCCTGGGATGCGTTAGGACCTGCCTCGCACCACTAACGCAGATAGATAAAGTTATGTGACGTGAAGTGGGAACTGACGTTCACATTGTCCTTCTCTCATGCCCACTCTCTACTGCCACCTTTTCATTTTGTAGTGAAGATATTTGTTTTAGGATTTGGCTTTGCTGAAGTATGACTGGGCAAGTTCTGAGTGAAAAAATGCGCCTCAGGATTGTTCGGCAATTTTTATGTAGTGAAATGATCGTGTATTGCTACACACACATGAACACTCACGCTCACCCCATGGGCTACTTACTCTTTGTTTACTATTTTCCCATAGTGGTGACAAGAGCTCACAGCGTGTGCGGGTGGGGAAAGACACTGGCCGGGGCACTGAGAAGTGTCTCCTGCGAATAGCTGGGGCCGTTACGGATGCCCGGGGCCAGGCAGGGTCCTGGGGACCCACGGGCTCAGGTCTGCCACAGCCACGTGACCACCCAGTTGTGGGCACAATGTCCGGCGGACAGATGGCTGTTCCCCCAAATCCCAGTGTTCTGGAGCGCCCAGGCCCACACTCCCCTGAACTACCTACTCTGAGGCCTTATCCACTGTGCTGAGCCGGCATCTCTTTCTGTTAGAGAAAATGGGTATGTAAATTCACATGCAAATTTTCCCAGTACAAAGGCCTATAAAGAGGCAGGAATAGCTCAGTCATGTTCAGAGATCAAAAGATTAGGGGGGCCTTTGGTCAGTGCTGATTCCCATCACTCAGGTGTCCTTGTGAGGAGAGCTCCTAAGGTTAGTGTGACTGCGTGGGCCCATCTCCATAGTCGGTCATTTTATTCTCTACACCCAGGCAGGTGCACAGGTACACATCTCGAAGTGAGTTTATGAAGAGCAGACACAGGAAGCTACAAAAGGGAAAGAAGAAAAGTCAGGGGTAGCTTCAGCATGGCATGGGGCAGGGGCAACCATTCTCCTACCTACGTGCCAATGTCCCAGAGAAGTTCAGCAAAATCACTATGAAGCCAAGAGCTTTGCTTGACTTGGGACATCCCTGGTCCAACTCATAATAAAGGGTGTTTTTTAGATATGACCGCACATGGAACAGATGATGTTGCCATGGAGCTGATTCTAACCTGAACCCCATTCATGCCTTTATCCACCTCTACGGGCACCTGCAACTATGGAAAGCCACCCCATCAACTATGGAAAGCCACCTCATCAATCAAGACAGTGGTGACAAAAGACAAGAAACCACCATCCCTCGGGGTCAACTGGGTGCTGCTTTTGAGGCTCCACAGGCTCAAGGGATTCTACCAGCCTGCCGTCTCTATCAAAGACCCACTGTGCTCTGAGAACCTGTGGAAATGATCTTCCCAGGGTTGTGCATTCAACTTGAAAAGTTCGGGTGACTCTGGTGGGTAAGGACTTTAGAGAAGGACATTCTGAGCACTGCTCACAGACCATGGTCTTCTGGCATAACCCCCTTTCCTCTTGCATCCTCAGAGACCCCATTGGCTATTGGGGGTAATTGTTGACCTGGTTGAGGTGAATTCCTCCTCAGTAAGGAGGATGTCTCAGTAAGAGGGTAAAAAGTCGGGGTGATGTGAACACTCTGAGCCCATGACCTGCCCTTTCAGGCTGCTGAATTGGCTGAGGTGCCTTGGAGGACCCAGAGACCATGTCTTGACAGCCAAGTAAACACGAAAGGTTCCTTGGTGGTGTCCAGGCCTGAGTCTGCAAGTGCAAGTTCTGACCACAGGAGGGCAGCAGGTCTCCTGTGCCAGGCGTGTCTCTGAGCTTTGCTGGACCATGTGGTCACTGAGAGCCCATTGTGCTGACCCTGCTTCAGAAACATGTTCACTTCCTGTGACAAGCGTCAGTCTGTGCATTGTAGCTGGATAGAGGGAAGAAGATTCAGAGGATTTAGGAGCAAACACTGTCCCTGTGCCAGGGTTCCTGCAGGGCCAGCTGTGTCTGAACATCACCCTCACCAGGCCCTGCCATTCTGGTGCTGTCGGTGTGAAAGGAACATGTTAGAGCTTGAAAGTGAAGGCATGTGTACGACACTAGCTCGTTCCCTTCTGAAAATATAGCATGTGCGGAGAGAGAGGTCTGGCGTTCCCATGGGAGGGTTGCCTGGTGTCCTTGCCAGCCCTTCACAGGGTGGGGTCACAGTGTCAGGGAGAGCAAGACTACTGCAGACTCTCATGGGCAGAACTGAGTTTCTTCAGAGGCAGTTCAGAGTCCTTCAGAGTTCCTTCAGAGTTCCCTCACAGTCTATCACTGTCACTGCAGGGACATATGGGTAGAGTGGAGGGCAGGAGGGAGGAGGGTGGAAGGTGGCACCCACACCTGTGGCCTGAGATACTGTCATCTGTTCCTTACTAACAATACTGCCCTAATACGTGCACCTTAATCTAAGTGAATGTCGCCTAATGTGTGTGAGCCAACTGTCTAGAAAGAGTGGGGCTTGTGTCCACAGCCTCAGGTGTCCCAGGTCAAAGATTTAGTCCCCAATTCAACCCCATGGTTTATGTTGCATTTTGAACAAAGTGCCTGACTTCCTTTCTGTGTGGTGTCCCGGGCACTGCCTGGAAGCTCTCCTGTGTGACCCCTGCACAGGGGAGCTCACAACATCTGTGCTTGTCTCCCTAGTTCAGGAATGTGGGACTATGGCAAAGAAAAAGGCATTTAGTGAGGAAAAGAAGGCAAGAGGGAAGGACTGTGGTGAATTCATATGGATGGGAGATACGTTTTGACATTAAATATAGCCACTGGCTCCTCCCCATGTGACTGTGTCCTGTTGCTCAGTATCCAGGCGCTGACCACAATGTGGTGACCCAGGGATGTGTATGCTTTGGATGGGTACTCCGAGAGCCATCGTGGATTCTGCCCTCATCTGAGGTCAAGATGAAGCACTTCAGTCTCGTTCTCTTTGGAAGAGGAAACATTTCTACACTTTTGCCAATAAATTTCACTATCTCAGTGAACATTAATATCTGAACGAACATTAATTTCAACTCCCTCAGGGAACAGATATTACAACGAGGTAGATGGGAAGTGAAAGTTACAATATGACAAGACTGGACCCCTCTCCTGTTTCACAAGTGCCCCACAACCTATTGCTCCCTTCTGTGTCCAACAGACTATAGGTTTTGAGATATTATCACACATAGAACGGACGATGTCTCCAGGAAGTTAATTTTGTCGGACACCACTGTGAATGCTGGGACACGGGGGTGCTGAGAAGAACAATGAGGATCCCAGGCCCCAGTACCTAAGGAAAGGAAATCTCCATTCAGATGAGACTCCTCATCTTAGGACCATCATTATTTACCCAGGTACCTCGGATGAGGCGTGTTATGGATCAGTGTGTACACTCTGGATTTTTCTTGCTGGGAATAAGGTCAATGGCATGGATTGGTCTTTGTGGAGGTGAGATTGCAGGAATCCAACAGTTAATGGTCCTTGAACAAGTGACCTCACTTCCTGGTGGTGGGCACCACAGAACTTAGAACTCTGTCCACCAGGCAACCACATCCTAGCGACAGCATTTGGCCAGCTCAGTTTACTAGACACAGTCAGCAGAAGAAGATGTTCTGCTGCTGGCCCCTGAAGCTCAGATGCTTCAGCTTCAGGAAAACCCAGAGGGTGAGACTTACTGATGGTTCCCATGGCCAGCTCAGCCCTCCTGGCCGCTCTTTCTGGCCATTTCGCAAGAGGCAAAAAAAGGTAATAGTCTCAGGCTGCCCAGGTGTTGAGAATACACCTGTGATCCCTCCTGAGCATCTCACACGCCTTTTCCCTCATTGTGTGTGTGTGTGTGTGTGTGTGTGTTTTTGGAGGTGTAAACATTTTTTTTTTTTTTTAAATTTGTGGTTTTTTTTTTTTTTTTTTTTTTAGAGGCATGTTTTTTATTTATTTGTTTGTTTGTTTGTTCGTTTTGTTTATACATGCACTGGGTACAGTCAGAAGCGCGGGAGGGTGAGAGAATTCACCAGAGCCAGAGCGGGGAGCAGAGCAGGCAGAAAGACCGAAGTACACTGCTGAGGGGAGCAGCGGGCGGCAGGAGAGGTCTGCGCGCCATGTGGGACCCTCCTTCGGTGGCCGAGGAGCAGCCGGGGATCGAACCAGCGCTTCAGAGGTCGCCGGCAGCTTTGCAACCCAGCGCTCAACCGCTGCGCCACCGGGGAGGCCCTGTAAACATTTTTGAGGGGAGTTTTGGAGGGAAGGCACAGGTTGTGATGGGTGAAAACCTGGTAGGTCAGCCATGTTCCTAACCAGCATATGAGTTGCAGAATGAGAAAGTGACTGTTGGAAACAGACCCATTCCAATGGGTCTGTTCATATTGATTCCTAGAGCTTCTCATGTGTTACTGGCAGGATGTCTGTGTAGCTACTCCTCTGTGTGTGAACTGGGTGAAGTGGTGTCCTATGGGTGTGTCCCCCGTGGCACTTCAGCAGCCCCAGAGACCTCCTCATGTGTCTACCTGGACATGTCTATGATCATCGATCAACTGGCCAAAGTTCACCCGAGTGCCTAGGAAATGGCCAGTTTTCCAAGCACACCAACACTGCCCAGGGCTAGGCTATGTGAGAGCAGAAGCACAGGGGCCTCCCCCCAGAACTCTGGAGTGGCTGGCAGGGTACTAGCATCCACACTCAAATTCTGGCCTATGTGCACCCCCAGGGATTTCCCACATGATAACCCACAGATGAACTACCACAGGAGTCAACATGTCAACTCCTCACCACCAGTGTTACGGTAGGTAGAAATACCTTCTCATATAATTGTTGAGGAACAGAGGAGAAATATGCATGTTGACTTTTCCGTTTGTGAGTATTTTTGTGATTTACCTGGCCATCTCAGTCTTCCTATAGAATATTTGGTTCAATAAGGGAACTTCTCCACATCTTGGCCATCATCACCTTGAATCAGTAGTCCACATATAAAAAGAGTGGAGTGGTTTCTATTGTTTGAGTTTTTCCACATCTTGCCAAATCACAGCACAGGACAGATTGCCGGAGACCTGTGAAGTCAGGAGCTGTGAAGGGCCTTACTCATCTTCAGGATGTTGTACACATTGCACAGGCACAGAGCATTTCCCTGCCGCTGGATCTTGACATGGTTCGACTCTGGTGTCCTTTGAGCAGTGTTGCGGGGGACAGTTATGTGTTCCCCAAGGGACCCCATCAGTGTCTCCTCCACACATGCCATAGCAACAGAGAGGAGGAGGCCACTCTCTGTGGGGAGATGCGTAGATCTATCACTGACGCGCTGCTCCCGGGTGCAACGCTGAGGAGCCCATGGCTGGTTCAATTGCTCCATCTCCCTGGAGAGGGCACAGTGACCTGTCCAATTTGTGAGTGGACAAGTTGTAGGAAAAACTTACACATGATAAATATGCACCCCACATTTTGTATAACTACTGATTAAAGGTGATAATGGGTAAGGCCTGGAGAATTTTCCTTGTTGAACGGAGGTAATGTGAGCCTCGTGGGATGTTCAAACCTTGGAGGCCCAGACAAGAAGAGTGAGGCCAGAGCCCAGACTCAAATATGGCCACTGCCCCAGGCCCTCATGCAATGAGTGTCCTGGAGCCCAGCACTGCATTTCCAGAATGACAGCCCTCAGGCAGCTTGGAGGGAAGGTCATGCTGTGGAGAGTTCCCGGGACTGAACTGCATAAGCAGGACCAACAGGTCAACTCTGACCCCTGTTCCTGATAAGGACTGTGGGAACACAAAACATCCATTACATTTCCAGGTCTCATTTTGTATTCAGATTCCTGGTAAATGAAACTGGTGCATGAGATGCAACCTAACCTACTGTGAATACAAGCTGCAATGCTGTTAGTTTGATCTCTGAATTTCCGCTGGGCTGCCAGCCTGCGCTCATCAGCCTCATTGAGGAAACTAGCACAGTAAATGGATCATTGGAACTTTTGCAATCACACTGTGCAAACGGAGCTAGAACAACAACCTTGCCATATTAAAATGCTCAGCTTTCCAGGAATAGCATATCTCGACAGCTCACACCTTGATTGCGTCCTTAATTTTGAGAAAGACATACTGTTTCCTGCAGCCACACAGAGCACACTCTGCCTCGTCCACCATTTACTTAGTCCACAAGCCTGAAACTGACAATATGCCCTCATGCAAGTGTGCAGGTATTAGTGAAGGTGATAAAGGTGTCTGTGCAAAGTGTGTCCCTTGTGGCACTTGATGGAGACGAGTATAATACATAGAATAACCCAGAGCACTGCTGGGGTAAGAAAATCATGCCCATATTTGCAAAGAAAGTTCAACTCACCGTGGATAGTGAGAAAGGGCTTCCTTGAGGGAGATCTATGAAGAGGAAGCCTTGAAGGGCAGTCGGCACCAGAAGAAAAATGCAGGACTCCGTGGTGGCTCAAGGGGTTCAGTCTCAGCACTATGAAGCCATGGGTGGCCAGTGTAGCACGAGTTCCATCCCCTACCAGGGAGCTGACCCATATGGCCAGCAGAGATCTCCTGTCTTTCCTGCTGCTCCCCTCTGCAGTGTATTTCAGTCGACCCACCTGATTAGCTCCCCACTCTGTCTCTGGTGAATCCGCTCACACCCTCCGCCCCATCCCTCACCTCTGCCTACACCCCAGCTTTGTATCCCAAATAAATAATACAAACCCTCAAAAAGAAGAGAAGAATGAATGTACCTGGAGGAACAGGAGAGCAGAAAAAAGAGACTAACACATCCAAAGGGAGAGATTAACCTGTGCTAAGACTTGGAGAGGCAAGAAACCCAGAATCGTAGGGAACTGAGTTGATAGAGCCAAAGGTTAGCCAACTTATGAAAACAACTCAAGTGCCCAAGGACAGTGGAAAACTCATATAAGTATTCAATCAAAACCAGGTGACAATGTGGCATTTGCAATAACATTAATGAAACTGCGGGCGATTATGGGGAGCAAAAGAAATCATCAGAGGGGAAAAAATGATTTTGTGTAATCTGACTTCTATGAGGATTACAAAGACAGAAATCAAAGGAATGGGGCCTCCCTGGTGGCCCAAGGGGTTAAGACGCAACCGATGAAGCCATCCGCAGCCACTGCAGCACAAGTTATATCCCCGGCCGGCCAGGGAGCAACCCACATGGTGCAGACCTCTCCTGACTCGCTCTCTGCTCCCCTCAGTGGTGTATTTCAGTGAATCTGCCTGTTCTGTTCCCCACTCTGTCTCTGGTGAATCCTCCCACCTCCCCTCCCCACCCCTCTGGCCTGTACCCCAGTTCTTGTATGCATAAATAAGTAAATCTTTAAAAAAAAAAAAATCAAAGGAATGACACAAACCATACCAAACCCTAGAAATCTGACTACCGCAGAACTGAGGCCACCATGGTCGGAGAGGGAATGAGGAACGAAGTGTGGAGAGAGCCGAAAGATTGTGGCAGAGGGTCATGGGGCCTCGGCGGTGGGTAAGGAGGTGGATAACTACAGAGCATGGACCTGTGCCGCCAAAATAAATAAACGGGAGGGTCCCGCTGGAAGAATGATCAACAAGGAGACACAGGCATGGGGACACCTGAGTGACTTGCCCAGGTCCCTTCCCGCCCACATCTTGTGTGTATGCTAGAGCTCAGAATAAGTCAATGCATTCTTCAAGGGCATTTGCATTGTACGCTACATTATAACAGATGCATGATGTTATTCACCGATACCTGTTTTGAAATATCCAAAGTGTGTTGAAATTCTCAGAGCCGGGCAGCTGAAAAGGATCTCTGCTCTCAGTAAGCCTTGGCATGAACCTTCCCCATCAAGTGCTTCTGTCTTGAATCTGTCCACAAAAGTACAGTATTGGCCATGTGTTTTGAGAATTCCCTGTCCTGTGGAAGTTGCCATTGAGCCTCCCCATTCCAAACATCCACTTCTTAAAAGCTATGGGGGTAAACGGAAGCAGGATGAGAAAGTTGGACAACCTGTTGCTTCTCTCCTGTACACAAAACACAGCACACCCCATACTCTCCATGGAGGTGAGGGGGGCAGGTCTCAGTGAAAGGATTCAGGGATGAATGAGGAGGCAGATCAACGGAGGGTCAGGAAGGAGAAAGGAAGAGCAGAAAGGAAGAAGAATGTGGAGCAGGCAGACTGCAGGCCCTACTTGTGTCTGGGCCTGTGCCAGGAACAAAGAGCCTGCCCTTCAACCATATCAGCAGCCATGAGTTCGACCCACGACAGTGATGGGGAGGGAGCTAGGTCACCTCTGATGCACAGGGGTGCAGGGACAGAGGGGCACAGGGCTGCTCAGCTCTCCTCCTGGAAGAAAGGTGGGGTTGGGTCATCACCCAGCTATGCCAAGCCCCAGCTCTCCCAGGCCCCAAATGCAGGAGTCTGCAGGTCCCTAAGACCCCAGATTATTACATGCAGTGTCCTGGGACTCAGCTCCCCAAGCCAAAGCTCCCTGAGTCCCAGCACCCTGAGACCACAGCTCCCTCAGCCCTAGCTCCCACAGCCCCATGCCTGGCCCCGCCTGCACTCAGCTCCCCTGGGCCTTGTGCCTGGCGTCGGTGTCACTGGTGTGGACAGGCCTAGACAGGGAGAGCAGGCGGCAGCCCAGGGGAGTGTGGCTCTTGACAGAGAAGGTAAGAGAGGGAAGAGTCCACAGGCAGTGACATCACGAATGGCTATGAGCCCCTCAAAACTCAGAATCCTGGTCTCCAGGCAGCCGCATTTAGACCCAGACCCCAAGTGGTGGTGGTCTCAATGCCCCGGGAGAGGCAACATGTTCTGCTGCCTGCCCAGGGCCCCTGGGTGCATGCCGGTAAACGATGCCAGTACCTTTAGGAAACATTTCAAGGAAGAAACTGGCCTCACTGGCCATTTGCTGGGAGGACCCCAATGGTAAGAAGGCAGCCAATGGGCAAGTGGCCAGCACGCTGAGGACTCGGGCAGCCCCATCTGTCCTGGAGTGTGTGTGTCTGTGAGTGCGTGTGTGTACCTGTATGTGCTTGCCAGTGTGCAGTCCGGGGAGTGCGGTCATGTGAGTGTGTGTCCTGCTATGCAGAGTCCTACGGCTCACAGTGTGGTGGGTCATTGTCCCACAGGAAGAGGCTGGCGGGAGGGACCCCAGGCCTTTGGGGTCTCCTTCCCCACGTAGATTTCACCCTGCATGTTCTCTTTTCCCAGGGGAGACAATCTACGTGCACACCTAAGGAGGAACGTTGGGGAGACTCCCCAACGTTCCTCCCCAGTAAGAAGGGACCCCGTCACCGTGCAGCACCGGGTAAGAGTGGCAGGTCCTGGGTACCATACCTGGAGCCCCTGGTGGAGGAGAATGAAGGTGAGAGGCGACATGTCCTGGTGTTCTGGGAGGGAGGGTCAGGGCCCACAGGGAGGCTCCCAGCACATCTGGGTTGACCTGGGAACCCAGGTCAACCTGAAGCCACTCTGACCTGGGAAACACACGTGTGGTTCAGGGGCAGACACCGGGGCGATCAGGACTGGGCTGCCCTGAGGGTGCTGGCCTGGACTAGGTCCCGAAGGCCACATGGAAGGGTGTGTGGTGACAGTCATGCACTTCTGTCTCAACTCCCTCTCAAACAGAAGATCTGACCGAGGTTGCCATAGAGGGGAAGCCACCAGGAGGACCAGAGGCAACTTCAGGACGTACGGGGGTTCCTGAGGCCACTCCACCCCGGCTTGGGGAAGGAGAAAACAGCCAGGACCCCAGCAGGATATCTGTTTGTCCTGAGCACACCCCACCCTGGCTGGGGGAGGGAGAACCCAGCCAGAAGCCCTCCGTTATGGCCGAGGGTCCTGAGTCCACCCCACCCTGCGTGGGGGAGGGTGAGCCCTACCCAGACCCTGGCATGACCCCCGCAGGTCCAGAGGCCACCCGAACCCGGCTGGTGGGAGGAGGACCTGGCCACTTCCCCACCATAAACCCCATGGGTCCAGAGCCCTCCCCACCCTGGTTGAGGGACGGAGAAATCAACCAGGACCCCACTGTGACCCCCACGGCTCTTCAGCCCACCCTAACCTGGCTGGGGAAGGGTGAACACACTCGGGACGTATCCCCATTCATCACTGACTACCCGATAATGCGTTTAGTTTTATTTTTCACTTTTATTTTTATTCTTGCTTGGTGTTTTTTTTGTTTTTAAATACACGTTTTTAATCAATAGTTGTCTTGCTATGCTTGGTTGTAATTGTACTCATTTTGGACTATAAGAAGTTCACAGCGAGATACCGCCCCATGATGCACTTTCTGACCATTTCGCTCACCAATGGAACATTGCACCCCTGCTCTCACTGCCTCTGCCCATCCCCTGCACCCCATCTGTTTACTGTCTCTGTTCCACCCCTCACAAGAGCTGGCTTCGTGGTTAGCAGCCTGGTTCAGAAGAACTGAGTCCTTTGGGGGTGCCCTGTTAGGAAACAGCACATTTTCTGGGAAAGAGAAAGTCCAGGGGGATCGAGAGGAAACATAACAAGGAATCCCTGGCAGCAGTGACATGCACACTTACCTGGCAGAGTGACCGAGGCCTTAAGAGACATCAGATGGACAGTGAGGGCCACACCTCCTCCTCTATGGTCACAGCAAAACCAAGAACGATGGGACCCGTGCAGAGATGAACGCCAGACAGGAATGCGATCCTCACGCCCACGGGCAGTGTCAGAGTTATTTCCCAGGGCACACCGACCTGGAGAAGCCCGTGCTCCCCCAGATTACGAGTGCACACAGGTCACTGCAGGCAACGGCCATCCCCGCACTGAGGCCTCTCTCTCCAGAGGGACCTCGCCAGGGTGGCAGCACGGGGACATTGATAGGCAGGGCCCGTCAGCAGTGATGGGGAGATCTGGGGGCTGAGAACAACAGCCCCGGGGACTAGGGCTTAGCCGAGGCCCAACTGGTCCTTTCAGACCAGCGAGAGGGTCAATCCTGGTGGTAGAGCTGGGCCAGACACTCGGAGTCTCTGGATCCCTCTCCTGGCCAGTGCCCCTGCTAGGAATACAGGGACCAAGAGGCTGCAGTGGGGGTTCCTGAGTCTTGGGGGTGCCCAGTGTGAGCACCTGGGGTGAGGACTGGCCTGAACACCAAACCCCACAGCAGGAGCCTGGCCAATTTCCCCCATTCTTCCTTTGCTGGCCTGTACTCACCTGTTGGGGCCCATGGGCCCCGGGATGTCTCACCCATCCCCGTGAGGACCGAGGATCTTTGTCCAGGAGCTCTACTGAGGGATGAAATCAGGCGGATTCTGCGTGGAGGGTCAACCTGAAGGGCGCATGGAGGCTGGATGGCCACCTGTCATCAGGCAACCTGTCCCCTTTGGGGACAGGACACCTCCCATTCTGTGCTCGTGTTTGGGTAGCCCCTGAGCCTAAGAAGGAATGATGCTCCCCAGGGCCCCCGGGGACTGGTGCCCTGAGGTGAGTCAGGACCCATCCAGTCACCTAGTCAGTGGACAGCAGCCCCTCCTCCAGGGTATGTAGCATATGACCTCCCCCCTAAAGCAGTGGCCAGAGGGCTATGAAGGCTGTGGAACAAGTGGGCGAGGACAGAAGCTTCCAGGGAACTGGTCGTGCCTGGGACAGGTTTGAGCCAGAGCCCCAGCCACACGCGGACCTAATGGTATGCAGGGGCTTTACAGAAAGGGCGTGTGCGGCTCCTCGGCGCCAGTGCACCAGCAGGTGGGACTCAGGGCACGGGAGCAATGGCAGGAGCAGCCCCCGAGTGGGGAGACTGCCCTCTCACACCCGGCCAACCTCTCGCTCTCCTTGTGGGCAAGGCATTGCTGTGGTGCCACGGAACCCTCCACTCCTCTCGCCCTCAGTGTCCTCCCTCTCGTGACCCTTCCAGGGTCTAGACATGTTCTGACCTAATCCTCTGTCTAGAGAATGGTCAGGAGAGCGGGGCTGGCACCTGGCCACTCCTTGAGCCTCAACAGACACAGATGCTGTTTCTTCCAAGTTGTCTTCTCACTTTGGACCTGTGTGTGCAGTCACACGCCTGAGTGTGGCGTGATGTTCACAGTGGGGCTGAAAGGATCACAGTGTGATCCTTTCAAAAGAAAGTGGTGTTCCTTGCATCCCGAGAATTTCAAGGGCCTTGATCATAAATGGGTGTTGTACTTTGTTGAAAGCTTTCTCGGCATCTAGGGATATTATCATAAGGTTTTCATATTTCTTTTTGTTGATGTGTTGGATTACATTGATTGATTTTCGGATGTTGAATCATCCTGTGTCCCTGGAAGAAATCCTACTTGGTTGTGTGAATTACCTTATGGATACATTGTTGGATTCTGTTAGCGAAAATTTTATTGAGGATTTTTGCATCAGTGTTCCTTAGAGAGATTGGCCTGTAGTTTTCTTTATTTGTGTTGTCCTTGTTTGTTTTGGTATTAGTGTCATGTTGGCTTCATAGAATGTGTTTGGTATTACCCCTTCCTTCTCAATTTTGTGAAGGAGTTTATGAAGGGTAGGAACTAGTTCGTTTCTGAATGTTTGGTAGAATTCATTTGTAAATCCATCTGGTCCTGGGCTTTGTTTCTGGGGAAGGTTTTGATTACCATTTCAATTTCACTGCTTGTAATTGGTCTGTTTAGGTGTTCTATTTCTTCTTTATCTAGCTTTGGGTGTTTGTAGAGTTGTAGGAATTTGTCCATCTCTTCTAGATTGTTGAACTTGTTTGCATATAACTGTTCACAGTCGTTTCTGATTAATCTCCCTTTTTCCCTTTGTGAGCCTGGCTAGGGGTTTCCTATTTTATTTATTTTTTTGAAGAACCAACTTTTGGTTTCATTAATCTTTTGGATTTTTTTTTTTTAGTTTCTATTTCATTTATTCCTGCTTTGATTTTTATCATTTCCTTTCTTCTACTTGTTTTAGGATTTTTTTGTTGTTCTTTTTCCAGTTATTTGACATGTGTGGTTAGATTGTTTCTTTGAGTTCTTTCTTCTTTCTGGATGTGAGCCTGTATGGCTATATATTTTCCTCTTATTACTGCTTTTGCTGCATCCCACACATTTAGGAAATTTGTGTCCTCCTTGTCATTCAACTCAAAGTATTTTTTAATTTCTTCTTTTATCTCCTCATTAGTCCAGTGGTCTTCCAGTAGTTTGGGTTTCAATCTCCATGAGGTAGGAGACTTTCTTGCCTTCTTTTATGGTTTATTTCAAGTTTGATGCCTTCTTGGTCATAGAAGATGTTTGGTAAGATTTCAATTTTGGTGTATTTGTTGATGTTTGTCTTGTGTCCCAGTATGTGATCGATCTTAGAGAATGATCCTTGTGCACTTGAAAAAAATGTGTACTCAGATTTTTGGGGGGTTTCGTATTCTACAGATGTCTGTTAAGCCCATGAGATCTAGATCCTTATTTAGAGCTCTAGTGTCCTTACTTATTTTTTGTCTCGTTGATCTATCCTTGTTGATAGTTGTGTGTTCAATCTCCTACTACAGATGTGTTTTCTCTGATGTCTGTTTGCAGAGATGCTAATAGTTGTCTGATATATTTTGGTGCTCCTTCATTTGGTGAGTATATGTTAATGAGGTTTATTTCTTTTTGAAGTATTGTCCCCTTGATACAAGGAAGATACCTCAATAGCAAAAAGGCCATATATGGCTAGCCCATAGCCAATATCATTCTCAGTGGTGAAAAGATAATGCATTTCCATTAAGATCTGGAACAAGCCAAGGATGTGCACTCTCACCACTGCTTTTCAATATAATACTGGGAATCCTAGCCAGTGCAATAAGACAAGAGAAAGACATGCAAGGAACACAAAGAGGAAAGGAAGAAGTTGAACTATCACTATTTGCAGATGATATAATAATATACATAGAAAACCCCAAAAACTCCACAGAAAGACTAATCAAACTAATCAATCAGTTCAGTAAAGTAGCAGGATACAAAATCAAAGCACAAAAATCAGTAGCCTTCCTATACACAAACAATAAATCTGAAGAAGAAGAAATCAAGAAAACCATCCCTTTTATTACGAAAGAAAAAAAATCACTCACTGGGGTGTCTCCCATTGTCTGCCCAGCAGCAGGCATTTGACCCCATCAGCATGCCCCTGGTCTGGGTCTTCCCGCTAGGGATTGACACAGATGTCCTGGACTGTCCACCCCTGTCCTCCCCCAACTCCTGCCAATTCTCACCTCTTATTCCCCATGTCCCAGAACCAGGCACAGAACTCCTCCTCTGCTTCCTGCAGCATGAGGATTTCCCTCATAATACGGTATTCCTGGACCAGAGGGAAGCGAGGATTCATTCAGAAAGGGCCTGAGTGGGGCATGGGGAATGGGCTTTTAGAGGGTTTGGGGAAGGGCTGGGACCAGCCCGGAGCCTTTGTCCACATGGGAAGTGTGCTTCCCTCCAATGCCATGCAGGTCTTTACTGAAAACTGAGATGGGCATAAATGGGCCCTCATGGACATGTCCTTGATGCCAGGTCCCTACTGGCCACCATGCAGGAAATGAGATGGGCATAAATGGGCCCTCATGGACATGTCCTTGATGCCAGGTCCCTACTGGCCACCGCCAAATGGACAGATGTCACTTCTCTGATTCAAACTCTCCCAGCAGTTGCAGGCACATTTGGTGATGGCAAGCAGTGTTCTGCCTTGAGGGAGGGAGCCCATGAATCCCACCACCCTCCCCTCCTCAGATACATACCTCATTTCTTTTTTGGAGGTTGATACTATTCCTCTGCAAGGGGAAAAATGTTGCATCAGAAAGAAAGCCCAGTCCTCACTAGTACCCTCTCTCTACCCCTGTTCCTGTTGGACTGACACCAGGGCCTGCACACAGAGGGCCCACACAGAGACACAGCACTGAACCTCAGTTGACTCTGCTGAAAAGAAGGGGACAAAGTGTCTGAGTCTCAGGGTTCTTGCAGTCCAACCCTCTCGTGGACAGATGGTGCTGGAATGTCCTAGGTAAAGAGCTGTGTGCCAGTGATGGGCCTCCGGAAACCTAGGGGACTGGCTTCACTCTCCTACCATGGGCACAGCCTAAGGGCGCACTGAGTCCCTCTCAAACAGGAGCCCATGCAGCTTTTAGTCAGGCAGCTGTGCTGCATCAGCAGCAGGGGACCTGGGCACCATCAGAGAGGCCATCTTGTGTGGAGCCCCCACCGACCCATCCCTGACATGCCTATGGCTGCCCAGCTCTCGGGGCTGCTAGGAGGCCTCATAAGAAGGGCTTTTCCTGGGATGACAGCTCCTGACTTAGAATGCAGCTCCCTCCTCCCAAGAAACAGATCTTTGGCCCCACCTATCCCCAAGCTCACCCACCAGGTGATCCTCCATCACCATGTCCAGCCTCTTGATCTCCTCCAAGAATATCCCAAGGAAGGTCATGACCCCCTGTGTCAGGGGAGAGAAGCTCAGGTGAACTGCTGCTCTCAGGTGTCCCACAGGCCCTCCCCTGAAACTCCACAGGCTCAGCCTCCTCTACCCCAAGGGCCCAGGTGGAGCAGCACAGGGCCCTGAGCAGCCTCCCTCTTCTCTCCTCTGTCCTGCCCCTCCATGAACACCGTTTAAGCTCCCCAGGGACTGACTTTTTGCCAATCACAGGGCATGTGTTCTAGAAGGCTCTCGCCCCAAGTCCATCCTTTACCTGTACTTCTAGGCCCTGGTCACATCTGATGGAGGCCTTCTTCACTGAAGCAAAGGGGTCAGGCCAGAGCAGGAAAGGTCCAGTCTCTTGATTGCAGGCATCCAGCTGGGAAGGGGAGACCCTGTGTTCTGCCCATGGACCCCCTCCCTCCAAGACACACCTACCTCCTGCTTCAGTCTCTTCTCGGCTCTCTTCTCCTTGGTTGGGAACTTGGTGCGCCCCTTCTGGAAGTGTCAAGGATGCATCATTGCAGACTTGTGCCCTCATGACATTGAGCCACTGTGTCCTAGAGTTTCCACCACCAAGACACCTTGGAAGGGGGAGCTGGCTGCAGTAGTGCTGGTCTTTCCCCCTGCTGCGCCACCACAAGTGTCTTGTGGCAGTTGCTCTGTGGAGCCCTTACATGCAACTGCACACTTCCTGGCTCCTGGAGTGGACCAATCAGGTGTGAGTTATGAGCTGATTGGTGCTTAATGGTCCGATCAGTCAAAGGGTTGGGCCATAGCCCAATCAGACTTGTGAGTGGGGCAGCCTGAAAGAGGATAGAAGCCAGGGTCGGAGGGAGCTACAGAAGAGAGGCCTCCAGCCCTTGAACAAGAGAGATGGTTCCGGATCTTGAACAGGAATGATGGTCTAGCCCCCGAAGAAGAGATGCTACCAGCCCTGAATGGGACAGAAAGTTCCAGCTGCCAAAGGAAGAAGAAAGAAGGGGAACACTTTGTTCCTGGCTTCCCAAGAAGAAAGTAGAAAAGCAGCATCCAGCATCCCAACTCTGAGGAGGGAGAAAAAACCAAAGATCTCTGTTAGAGACAGGGCCTCCGGTCCTCTCTCTGATGCTGCCTGAAAGGAGCACGAAAGGCCCTGGGTCTGGTGTCTCAAAGGGCTGATTATTGTGCCTACAGCTCAACGACTCCCAAAAAGCTGTTAACATGTGATGTCGCTGACAACACCTCTGAGGGAACTGTAGTGACCATCATAATGGCCCGTGCTGTGCAGCACTCCCAGGGACCAGTGGCAACCATCACTGACACTCTCTGGGTGAGAAAAGCAGACATTTGTGGCTACAGTGAACTCTTAGTTTCCCCTGTTTGTGAAATGAAGACAGGCTTGTTGTTCCTGGGGCCTGAGGTCTCTTGCAATTTTTCCCATAGGTGAGAATCCATACACAGTGACTTGTCCTCTTATCAGGTACTGTATTGTGTTGGTTACATCCTATAGGCCCCCATGGTGTGGGTACTGTGTTGATGTAAGTCTTGGTTCTGGTTTTTGACCTTTTGGTCTTTTGGGGATTTTTGGAGGCTCTGTTGTCATAGAGAAAAGGGAAGGTTGGACGTTCCACTCAACCATTCGGACACCAGCCCTGATCACCCCTGTTTGAGTGGGACCTAGACATCTGACCCCATCCAGTGTCTTCTCTTGATTCTTTCTCCCCAACAGGTTTTTCCCCTGGAAAGTGTATGGATTCCCTAACACCTCAGAATGTACCTGAGGACACGGTGTCGTATTATCACTAGAGTGATGCTCGCTCAGCCCTCCAGTGGAGCAGGCTGAGAGCTCTACACATGCCATGTTCCCCAACACCACAAAGTGGGTTCAGCCTCACAGGTCTTCACACCCACCTTGCACAGAGGAGGGGGCAGAGGCCCCAATGGGAAATGTCACTTGCTCAGGGGCTGTGCCTCAACCTTCCTGTGCACACCGCAGACAGAGCCCTGTCCTTGGTCTGCTCCTTGTCTGTCTTGAGCTCCAAGTAGACTGAGGCCTGGATAAAGGATGTCCAGAGGGCCTGGTGCCTCAACTCCAGGCTTCCTGGGTCCCGCTGGAGCCTCGAACACTCAGACTGGAACTGACAAATTCTTCACCTGCTCTCACAACCCTCAAGAAATTCCCCTACAAAGAAGTCTTTTCCACCCACTCAGCTACTGAGCTTTTGTGGTGGCTCTTCTGATCATTAGAAAGTGACAAGCATGTCTTCTGCTTTGGCAGGATGATGTGATATCTGTCAAGAGGATCCACTGAGAGTCCATCAGCTTCCCAAGCCCCCCTCAAAAGAAATGTGGGCAAGTGGTGTTGCCACCTGGCACCCAAATGAGGATCCTGAATATGACTGATGGCCAGTGATGCTCTTGGGGTGCACAAGGTCTCCTGAAAAACACACATTCTCTCCCTGTGAAGTCTCATGTCCATTTGACTTTTAGAAATCGCTGAAGACAGCCATGTGCCCTTGCCATGGATGTGTGGACAACATAGGAACATCAGATACCTGGCTTTATGGGCACACCCTGGATGGTTCAGGGAAAAGGAAAACGATTCACACCACCTATACCAAATATGAAAAGCTGAGTGCTAGAAGCATGGTTCTGTGTGGCAGTGGGGTCTTGCTCCTTCCATCAGGAAAGCACCCTGCTGCCCTGCTGCATCAGCCTATTCCCACCACATTGTGCAATCACCAAGATCCCTGCCTGCAAATTGTCCCACCTGCCTATACACCTAAATAGTTCCTCTTCCTGATCTAAGGACTTCTAGAATAGTCCCAAGGAGTATGAACTGAAAAACACAGGGAAAATTCCCTCACACCCTGCCCATTCCCCCTCCCCTCTCACCACTACATCCATGAAAACCCCCTGCCTCTGCCTGACCTGGATTACCTGCCTCCTGCTCATCGTGTTGACATCCCTGGACAGAATCTGGGATTTCAGACTCCAATGGCTGAGGTGATAGGAAAGAAGGAAGAGCTGGTTTAGAATACTGCCTGCATGGGGGTAAGGAGAACCCTTTCTTTAGGGAAACAACAAATTCAAATAGCCCAAAGGCACAGGCTCAATGTTTCCCTCTGGGGGAGTCTCCATGGGGCTGGGGAGGTGCTCTCTGGTCATCCGGTGTCTCACCCAATTTAAGTGATCAGGACTGATCTGTTCTGACCATTCTGAAATAAAGTTGGCACAGAACTTGGTTGCTAAAAAAATAAGAGCTTGAAAGTCTCCAATTTGGCTCACCCCATTAGAAGACATATAGAAAATGGTTCCTGATTCAGAACAGGTGCCTGTGCCTAGAGGAGCTAAGATTGAGTGGCCTTGAGCCCATTCCCTCTCCCCAAGGTCTGCTACTTCCAAAGAGGCCCCAGCTGACTGAGGGGAAAAGGACTGACTATGGCAGAAGCCACAACAACCCAGGCTGGCATAGGGGGACAGGCCAGCTAGCTGGGAACTCTCTTCCGTGCTTTTTCAACACCGAACCCAGGGGCTCTGCAGAACTGACACATTGGCATGGAGGGAAGAGAAGTTCATCAGGAACTGGCACTTCTGGAAGGGAAGTGCAGGAGCTCTGAGGTGGCCAGTGGAGCCCTGCATGTGCTGATATCCGCCCTCTCAAATTGATCTTCATCCAGGGAGGGTGCCTTTAATATCAACCATTAACAAACGGGGGAAAGGATTTGAGATACCCCAAGTAAGATTCAGGTAGGAAAAGTTACTTCTGCTATTTAGTCTGAGTGTCAAGGTTAGAGAGCACTGGCAGGAAGAGTCAGGGTCCAAACAGGGTCTTGAAACACAACCTTCAACCCCTAGTAGGGCAGAGGAGAAGGGCAGTTGCCAGGCTTTGAAGAGGACTAGCCTGGGCCTGCACAGTGTACCCGCGCCACATTGAGCCATTGCTCCACCACCACAGCCTTGTCCTGGGCTGCCATGTGTAGAGCCAGGTGCTGATGATGCAAGTAGCTACAAGATAGAACTGGTTGAGGTTGGCACAGACGGTGGATGCCATGTGTTGTTCATCTTACTTGCTCCCCCTGGACCAGGTGGAGCCCAGGCACTGGCGGGAAGGAGCTTGGACACCTCCTGGGGCACAGGGAGAGTGTTAGCTGACCCTGCCACACTCCAGCTCTTGAGTCTACATATAGCCACAGTCCTAGGTGGCACCGCCACACAAATTTGAGCACAGCGATGTGAGGCTTTGTCTGGCAAATGGAGGGGCCCGGGACTGTGATATCTGTCCAGTGAGGCCACAAGGGCATCTTGATTCAGGACCCAGCATGGGTAGTAACGTGGTGAGATCATCAAGTGCAGCCAGTCTGCACTAACTCTAAGTTCCCAGAGGGGCCTGGCTCTCCTCCTATCAAGGGGCAACTTTCTCCTCTCTGGGATGACACTGCATTCAGATGCACATTTCCATGGAGCAGCTCAACCTGGTGGTTATTTCCTTTTTTTTTTTTCAAAGATTTATTTATTGATGCGTACAAGAACTGGGGTACAGGCCAGAAGTGTGGGGGGTGAGAGGTTTCACCAGAGAAGGATTGGGGAACAGAACAGGCAGATTGAAACACACTGTTGAGGGGAGCAGCTGGAGAGTCAAGAGAGGTCTGCTGAGCTATTGGGTTGCTCCCTGGCTGGGTATCAAACTCGTGCTGCAGTGGCTGCGGGACAGCTTCATAAGTTGCGTCTTAACCTCTTGCGCCCCTGGTGGTTATTTCTTTTTCTACCCAATAGTTAAGCACACATCAGGGATGCCGTGAGTGCTGAGGCTGCTGACACTCCAGGAAAGATGGGGGGAGACCCAGGGACCTGGCCGCACACACAGAGCTGACCTCCCCCACCACACGGGCTGTGCTGCACCAGACCTGTATCTGTTCTGACACATTAATCTGTAAAATTCTGCAGCACTTCTATCAGTGTCCATCTGCCCTGTACTCATGAAGAAGGGAAAGTTTTGCGATTTAAGGAAATGGCCCAGGTCACGTGGTTGGTAAGTGATAGAGCAGGAACAGCCAATGAGAAGAAAGAAGTGCAGACCAAGAGGGCTGCTAGTGCACCCAATGATACACAGGTGTTCTCTGAGCCACATCCCAAGACCCTTGCTACTCACCACATACTTTATCGTCAGCTGTTGAGCGATTAGCCTATGACGGAAAGTTGTGATGCCCCGTTTGGCTGGGCCACAGGCCCTGTTAGTGCACTGGGTGATGGGGATGCAGAAGGTATTTCTGTTAGTGCAGGCTGGGATCAAGGACTCCACCACCTTCTCCGTAGTTCCTGCCTGGAGCTTCTCCATTGTGCAGACCACACCCAGGCATGTGTCTGTCTCATGTCCACCCTAGATGGACATGGAGGGTCATAGTCAGAGACCTCACCAAAACCACCATGAGGTCAGAGTCAGAATCTCAAAATACAAATGTCCAGCACCTGGACGAGAAGGAGCATTAGGATAGAGTCTAAAAAGCACTAGCCTTAGAAGTGACAAGAGCTCTAATGTTGAAAGATCCATCTGTGTTCTCCTGAGCAGTATTCAGCTCAACAACCTGAGCCGAACTTCCAAGCCTTAACCACCTTCACATTTGTTTGTGGTTGGATTGAAAATAGTTCCATTTTCATTTATTTGTAATCTCTGAGACACAGAAGTAACTCTCTGTGTGA